GCCCGGCTTCCAGGGGGCTCCTGCGGTGCCTGGCTCGGCCTGCCTCGCTCGGGCGTTTTCCTGCAGGTAGCCAGAGCCGTCAGCTCGGTATCCACACGTAAAAAGTAACTGATAGAAAATCTGGAAAAGTAATGCGTTTGGCCGTTTGTTGGCAGTGTTCCTGGATTTAAGGACTGCAGACGAAAACTGTAGTTTAAACTTCCTCCTGCACGTTTTGGTTTTTTTTTCTTAAATCTGAAGTAAAAACCTTGTTTTCCTTTGAGTAAATAAATCCCCTTTGTTCACTTAACTTATCTGAAACTCGCTGAACAAGTTGCTGCCTGATAATTGGTCTGGACTGACCTATTTATTCTTATAAAAAGAAGAGAAATATGTTAGAAGTAAACATAGCTGAAGAGGTGAGAATTCACTGAAAGGCCTCTGTCAGTTTCAGTGAGGGGGGATCTAATGTGCCACTCTTTTCCTTTCTGCTCTTCAGCTGGTGTTGATCTTTTGTATTAGGTTTTCAATTAACTCCATGGCCTTCCAGGACAGGCACTTCTGCTGGTTTATTATTGTTATGGTGTGCAGTTCTTGTATCTCAAGTAAACCTCTGTTATCGTGCCAAGTCAGTGTTCATCTTGTGGATATGGAGAATGTTTTCTCCTTGTCTTTAAAGGGATGCTTTCATTCTAAAGGCCATCAGTTTTTTTTTCATATTTTTTGATTCTTCAGAGTTATTTTTAACATTAGCATGTGTTATGTCTCGTTGTACATCCTTGATAGTATTTCCCACGCAGACTCCTTTGCGCTTTTATTAAACATGGTAATTAAAAGTGGATATGAGGTCTCAGCACTGCCAGCTAGTGTCACACCTGTGTCTGAATGATGCCTCTTGTAAAACACCCAGAATAGTATTTGTCTAGTCATATACTTAACACCCATAAGCCAGGCAAAGTTTTATAAACTTCCCTGGAAGTTAAAAGCTCTTTATCCCGTTCAGGAGCAGTGAAACAGGAGCTACAAGGGCTGGGCCTGCAAATCAAAAGGCAGACCAGCAAAACCTTGCAGCTGCCTTTTCCCTCCCTCCTCATCTGCCCTGCTTGTGTCTCCCCAGCTGCAGCACCCAAACGCTGAGGTGAGAGAGTATGCCTGTGCCAGTATTTCCAAGCTGTTGCAGCAGAAGCAGGTCATCCCAGCCTTTCTGCAGAGAGACGTTGTCCGGTGCTTGGGCCCCTTGCTGATGGATCCCAGCCTGGCTGTCCGCGAGACGGCTGCGGGCGCTCTGCGGTAAGCGCCTGTCTGGCCTGCTGGAGTGAGGTGCTTCTGGCACGGGCAAGGCAAGAGTGGGTTTCTGCTGCTAAAAGCCATGAACTTGAATGCCAGCTTCTTGTTTCAGCTCCGTTTTGTCTGCATCAGTCAGGCTCCCCAAGAGAGGGGCCTTTCCTGCTGCAGCAGCCTGCCAGGCTTCCATGTCAGGACCAGAGTTTAAGGGAGCTAGTCCCTTTTTGTCTGCTCCCAGTAGAATGTGCTGCTTTCTGTCCCTGGAGGTATTAAAAAGACAGGTAGACGTGGTGTTTCAGGAGATGGTTAAGTGATTTGGGGTTGTAGGGCAGATGGTGGGACTTGATGATCTCGAAGGTCTTTTCCAACCTCGATGCTTCTATGATTCTGTTCTTATGTTAGGGGATAGAAACAAGTTGTGTGAAGAAATATAGGTAATTTGAGAGCAACTGGCCTGGCATTTTGTGTCTTGATAACACTGCAGGAGTGGTGGTTTAGAGAATGAATGCACATAGCTGGCTTTTTGAGAAACTTGTGTCGAACAGTTCTGTGGACAGGCCTACAGCCTGCTCTATTTGTACAAAACCATAATGCTAATACTTGTTAACATACATGTTGTATCTTACACTGTGTAGTACCTGACAGAAGTCATGTTTTAGTACAGATAAACCTTCTAGCTATGCTGGACAAGTAAGTGAAATTATTCTTTTTCTTCTGGCACTACCAAGGTAGAAGACTAAAGGTACTAATTAGGCAGATTGATTTTAAAACAAAATGTACTGTAACCCTTAGAGAAGAAATACTGAATACAGGTTTTTTGAAACATTCCTGATATGTATTGTATCTGATAAAAAATGTTTTTTTTCCCTCAGGAATCTGAGTGCTTGTGGAGGATTTGAAGTCTGTGATGACATGGTGACAAAGGACATCATGACACCCCTTGTTGCACTCCTAAAGGAGGTGTGTTTATTTTTGTTCTGTTTTTAAAACTGGTCTAGCCCTTGAATTATCCCATTGAAAACAGTTCAATTTTTGTAGCCATTCTCAAGATAGGGTATTTGAAAGATCTTTAAAAGAAACACAGTTTAGTAGGTTTACTAGTACAAAAATTACTCCAGAGATTTCACAACACTTGCTTCTCCCTCCTGAGCTTCTAACTTGGGTCTGTGGTAAAGTTTGCTGCCTAGGATGATTTTTGCATAAATGGTCTGGAGAATTTGGGTCTGGAACATTAGTCAAAACCAAGTCTATTCTGTCAGTCCAACATTTATGTTGCAACATTACTCCAGTGAGTTTTTTTGATACATAGTTTTGTCTAAATGAAAGCTTGGATTTACAGTTGCATGGTTACTGCTATTGTAAAATAATCTGTACTGAACACCTATTCTTTGTTTGGTTCAAGTGTTGCTGTGCAGTTTGGAAACTGCAATGAATTCTGTCATGTTCTGTCTTTGAGCAGTCTTGAGCAGTGCCTTCATTTTCTGAGTATTTTTTTCCCATTTGTAAATATGGGTAGTAGCATTATTGTAGCATACAGCAAGATATTAGCTGAATTAATCTTTGTGATTAGAAAGAACTGTTTAAAATCGCATAGAGACTGTATTAGCAAGAAACAGCATTTCAGGTTCTAAAATTGCTGGTTCTCTTGTTTGGTTGTAGTGTAGCACTGGACTAGATGCTAATCAGCTCTCTCCAAAGAAACGCAGAGATATGGACAAAAATTATATTGAAGACATAGCCAACGAGGCTATTAATTTGCTGTGGAATGTCTGGTAAGTGCTGTGTTAATACTGGCCTTTTAGAAGAGAGAAATTATTCCTGAAAAGGAGCATGTTAATGGTGGCAGAAAAGAATTTACTGTTATTTCTTGGGAAGGCATACTCAGTTGCTGATACTTTTGTAAGTGAAGGGTTTTAAAAGTGCACAAGCCTGTTCTGAAAGTTCTCCTTGAAGTTTGTGTTGTTTCTGTTTGTTTTGTGGCAGCTCTATCATTATACACTTTGGTCACAGGATTTTACTTTGTACTGTACAGTATTTCAATGAAGCTGCCTTTGTGTATGGACTGTAGCTTGAGGCCTTATTTGTAAATTGATTTTTTAGGATTGGAATCTAGAACAATATAGAAACTGCTTGCTCAGCACCTTACACAGAATGCATGATCCCTTGTTGTAACTCTGACTCAGCAATCATTGGTCTTCATTGTTTTTTATTGTTTTTATAGACAGAAATGCTTTGGAGCAGGAAGCATAATTATTGTGTGCTATAAATCATTTCAGTATTTTGAACTTTGTGGGAATGACTGTGAAGTTGTGGCTTCATTGTTGTTTGGTACTGATGAAACTGGGGCTGGTGTTGATTCTGAGACATAGTATTTTCAAAAGTAAATTTTTTAAGGCCTATAGAGCCAGTTAGGTCCCATGTGTTTTTAGCTTGAATTTGTCTTGTATTAATATATTTAGTTTAAAAATGGGAATAGCTTTGAAAACTTGAAGAAACACAAATCTGACTGTTAGATAATTAAAGTAAATGTCACATGTAGCAGTGATTTAGCATACATTGCTGAATGCAAAGAGCAGTTGTCTTCTGCAGTGACTGATTTGATGTGAGAGGCAACAGCCCACTCTGTTGCCAGTGCGTTTGTGGATGAAGTCTTCCATGGCTGCAGAAAGCCCTGGGCTGGCTTGTAGCCCACAGCTATAAGCTGCTTTTCACACTCTGGCTGGCTCTGTCCTCATGAGGCTGTACTTAGGCTCCCGAATACTGTGTGTGAGGAAGCAGCTGGCAGAAGCCAGCTTTCCTCAAACGTGTCCAGGGTATTGCAGCCTCTTCTTTTTATGTAGACTTGATCATGACCTCGAGAACAAAGGGCAACTCTGACTAATGTGTAGTTCTTGAGTAGTTTTTAAAAATATAATAGTGTATAATCTCTTCTGTGCACTAGTGAATGCAACAGTACTGCAGTATCCATATTCAATAAAGAAGGATGTCTGGAGGCTGTGTTACATTACATGAAGAAATTTTCCACAAATGTGGATCTGGCTATTTCAGTTGGTAAGTGATAAAAAGTTGAGATAGGGATTTGAAGTTTGGGGTTGTTCTGTTTACTGTATGAATTTTAACATGATGTCACATCCTCTCAGTGTTATTTAAACTTTACACTGAATGTGAGACTTTGGCTTCCTTTCTTAAGAGCACATCATTCAGAAGTTGACATCTGTTGTGCTTGTTTTCAGTCCAAAGGAGAATGGCTTATTGGTGGTTACACATGAGGAAAAAAATTGTGGAAAGTAGGCTTTAGGCCAAGGCTGTTTTTTAATTTTGTTTTCTGGTTTTGGTAATGAAGAATTTAATTTGTAAAAAAACAAAGCACATACTGCATCGAAAAAAGCCCAAGCAACTATTGCTTTCAACCTGTTTTTATTAGTAGTGTTGTTGTTTTCCCTAGTCAGTATACAATGGAGAAATTTAATTTTGAGTAACTGATGTTAATATGGCTAGTTCCATGTTTGATGTGGTGCTGTCCTACCTGTGATATATGCAGGTTTCTCAGAGAATGTCTTCTAATCTAAAACACAGTTTGTGAAGGACAGTGCCATACAATTACAACATGATGCTACATGAAATGTTTTACTGTGTCTGTTTCATTACTCTTGCTTTCAGGAAGATAATGCTTTCTTATTAGCAGAGTGGAAGTACTCTTTGGTTTGTTAATCATCTTTGTTGCTGTTTTGTTCACTGCAGCAAACTGCTTGCAGGCAGTAACGGAAGATAATCCAGATCTTCTTTCTTCATTCAATGCTTCTGCACATCAAGTATTGGAAACTGTGATGTTGTGTCCGGAAAGCACAATGAAGCATGTCCTTCTGAGAACACTGATAGCAGGTATGATGCTTGGGGGCATTCCTTGCTCTGCAGGTAAAGGAGGATGGGATGACAAAGCTTCATCCTCTATGCTATAATCTGGATAGTAAAAGCCTTGTAGATAGTTCATGAGGTTATTAGTGTTTCTTGGGATTGGATTTTGGAGTAACCAAATATTTGCAACGAGTTTCAAAAATGTCTTAAATGTTTGATTTTAGAAATCAGTGCCTCTCAGTGTGGTCATTTGGTTTTCAACAGTAAAATGAGTCAACGATGACTTATAGAGGAATTGCTTTGATCTTAACAGGTGTAAGTTTTTACCTTGCATTCTTCTTTCCACATCAAATGCTCAGTCATGTTTTTCTTTTTGATACTGGCGTATATAAATCAGTTTAATTTTGAGAATCCTTAGGAAATTAATACCTCATATGGATTTGTTATCACAGGAAAAAAATGTGTTGCCAAGATAACTTTGCATAAATATTTTGTATATCATTACATGCTGAAATTTGCTTAAGTTTCAGATGTGGGCATAACATAGTTATTACAGTTTAGCATATTAAATGCTAAACAGAAAAAAAAAAAAAAAGTCTGTAGAGAAAAGAGTTAAAGACTCATACTGAAATATAAGCACTGGGTGTTTTTAACTAGTCGAGGCTTTGTCCTTAGAAAATACTTGGCTATTACAGAGCTGGGAATTGAGGATTTTTAATAGACTTGTATATTTCAACTGTCTTATGTTTAGGCACTATCTGGAACATCAAGGACACCATTCCACCAGGCAGCCTGGGAAGCATGGTTAATGCCATTCTGAAGGTTTTTTCAGAATCATTAGCAATAGATGCTGGTGAAACAATTATTCATATGAATGAAGCTGAAAAAAACAGGTTAAAACTTCCTGCAGAGGCAGAAACTGAGGAAAACATAAGTGATGTTATAGACAACTGTGCTTGGATTGAAGATGACATGGAAGAAACACCAAAAGGAAAAGCCAGAAGAGAAAGTGACGTTTCAGACCTCCTTCCAGTAAGTGTGGCTGGCTGGCTCTTGGACAGCTTAGTGCCCTTGGCTGAGCATTAGAGTAGCTGGCTCTGTGTTAGTTAGAAGTCCCAAATGGTGTGACTGTTTTTGCTAAAACTTCAAAGCTGAGCTTGGAGAATTTCAGCTCAACTTATTCAAATGCGGGCAAACTGCAGGACACCTCAGGAAATTCTGTTTGCATTGTCTTCCTCTAGTGGAAGGCATTGGCTCATCTGATGCTTCTCCCTGTGGCTGGTGCAGGAATTTCTGAGTGAGTCTTTGGATGGTTGTAACCCTTCAGTCAGGAGTGGAGGTGGCTTGGAGTTTAACCAAAGCATTCACTGTTGCCTACATGAGATGAATAACAGAAATAATTGCTAGGGCTTTAGCTAATATTAGGTAATCTTACCTGTTACAACTTGAGAGCAGGTGGAATTTCTTGAAGGAGAAGTTTGTTTTGAAGCAGCCAGCACAAAGGTGATGGGTTTGTTTGCCTCTTGGTTTTGTTTGCCTTTTTTTTAAATGGGGCAGGATGAGAAGAGGAAATGGCTGGATTGTATTTTTAACTGACAGCCTGAGTATGTAAAATTGCTCTGAAATGTTTCATTTCGTTTTACAAAATGAAATTTTGTTCATATTTTTCTTTTATAGTCTGATAAGTGGGAACTGAAAGAAGTGACAGCTTTACTGATGGCTCAGCAGACTGCTCTGGAAATCATTGTCAATATGTGCTGCAGTGAAGGTTTGTAGAAATCTCTTTTCATTGCAAGTGAGTGGTGTGGTGCATTTTGTTTCTAGAATAGGTCGTGTTTACTTTGCTGTTTGGTGATCTTGGCTTTTAAGGGCGAATACACATATGCTTGTTCCTGATACCCTCTTTTGGGGGCAGACTGGATTGTAAGTTCTATTACTATTTTAAGGGTTTTTTTCTCATTTAAGTAATTTCTATTGCTTACACATTTCTTGCATGATACTACGTGTGCCAGCATTTAAGAAAAAAAAACAAAACACTTGTGCTGAAGAGAGATTTCCTAAGAAGTATTAGAGCAAATTCTTTATTCACTTAGAGTGGTCTGAATGTTCATCTGACCCAGTATGTGTGTGAATCCTGTTGCAGGGCTGGAGCATCAGTTTTTTAGAAGTAGATAGATACTCTTAATTTTGATTTAGTTTTGATACAAGTGTTGCAAAAGAAGGAGAGACAGCTTTTGCATGCACATCTGCCAGCAATTCAGATTTAGACTGTTCAGAGTTCCACCTTTATGGGATTTTTTGGAGGAAAAAGAAAGGGTGGTACTCTGGGGAAGTGGCAAGCAGATATTCTGAACTCTTGCACTCAGTTTTCCTTGCTTTTCTCCAGATCTTCAGGAAAACAAAGAAGTTATTCTCAAATTCTGTTTAAAATGAACAGAAAAAAACCCCAAACCCAAAGTGCTCCTCCAAAACCTGAAAATTGTAATTGCTACAGTGTGAGAGCCTAATGCAAAAGTAATTGTGTAGGAGATACTTTCTAAGGAAATCTTTCAGGTTCTAATAAAATCTGCAGTAATATCCAGATATTCCCAATGGTGATTTTTTTTTTTTTTTTCTCTGAAAGCTCAAGGAAATTCTGCACCTAGTATATGAAGCTTCTTTCATAACTGCATTTTTCATCTAATGAGCTGTAATTCATAAGCTTTCCCCTTTAATTGGAAAATCTCTTGTGGATAAGCTGCGTATTCTGCCATTCACTCAGTGTAATGTAAGGTTGATTGTGTTGTATTTCACTACAGTGCTTTACCCATTCATGGGCAGACAGAAACATTGTATGTAGAAATTAAGAGGAATCCAGAGGCAGCTGTTCATTTAATTTTCAAGTTATTTGAGGACTAAAATAGCTTTAGCCATTATGCTGAGTTCATAGAAACACTCAGCTTGCTACAGAACTGAGGGAAATAACCAGGCTGGCAAGAGATGTTTTTACTGAACGCTGGCTGGCGTTTGGAAGCAGCAGAGTGCTCTCCACATAATGGGCATATGGGAGGGAAGCCAGGAGACTCCAGCATTGCTGTCCAGTCTGTAGTGTGTAGATAACCAGTGCTAGTTTTAAGATGGGATTACCATTGGAAATGCTGCTATATTTCCAAGAACATTACAAGATATCTGATCTTACTTTTGGGCTGATGTCCAGAGTCCAGTTCCTGCTCTGCCCTGGTCACTCACTGTGAACACAGGACAACTGTTGTCTTTCTTGTTGCTGAATTGCATGGTCAGCTCATATAGTTATGATTTATTTTTCAAAGGAGGTTTTTGTTTGCTTTGCTCTCTAAAGATGCAGATGGAATTTTTTTGGAAGAGGCAAGAGACTGAAATGGGGCTGTCTGCTTTGTTTTCATGCTTGTGGCTACTGTGGGTAGATAAAGCATATGAAAGAAAACTGTTCTCATGCAAAGGCTGTTAACACTAGGATGTTATGGCTGTAGAATTAATTGGTTATTACCATAAGCAAAAGAAGATGCCCACATGATGAAGTTGCCACAGCCTGGAGTTCCTTTGCATCAGATAAACAGTAGTCATCACCTTCAAACAAATCCTTAAGCTGCTGCACAGTGCAGGTCAAATGCATTCATTTAGGCTTTTCTTGCTGTGCTTTAAGTGAATGGATTTATATTTTGCCACAGAAAAAGGGCATGTACCATAATTACTGCATTGCCTGGATCTCACGTGAATCTGCCTTGTCAGACAAAATGACTTGGGAGTGAACATGGTATTTTTTGGTCACAGTAGTTAAATATCCTGACCTATGTACACAGGCAGAGCTTTCACCTGTCAGGAAGGAGGATCAGTCCAACTTGTAGACTTAGGACTTGCGTAAACACCAGTGTCACACCAGTTAAAATGTAACCAGGTTTAAAACAACTTCAGATAAATCAGTGTAAACCCCGTGGACATAGAAATATCAGTTTAAATATAAATGATGGACTTGGCTTGTGCTTGTCAGGCCACGTTTGCCTTAAGCTGTGGACAGATTGTTCACTCTGCAGTAGCTGTGCCTGTTGGTAACCTTACAGATCTGCTAGGACAGTATCATATAAATATATCCTACTTCAGGTTTATAACTATATAACTAGTTTACTTAAAGTAAGTTGCCTGAAATGGCCAAGAGAGATGATCTGGATTGTTTTTTGTAGTCATTTCCTTTCAATTGGCCTTGCTATGGTGACAGTAACATCTTCATCCAGCCGGTTGGTGCTCAATCAGAGGACATCTGTCTGTGGCTTCAGTACTGCCGGAGGAAACCAATGCCTTAAATGAATTGCAGTTAGTAAACAAGTTGAGTTAAACTGGTGTATTTGCACACTTGAATCTTCCTCAAAAAGTAAAATGGTATAATCCAATTTAAAATCTTAGTAAGTGCTTTATGAAATGCTTTTTTTTCTTCTATACATTTTCCAATATCTTTAAGTGAAGCATAGTTCATTTCACAGAATGAAGTTCCTGTGTATGAAGAACCTCTCTCATACTTGTTGCTTGAGTGAATATAAAATAGATTTTTTTTTATTTTTTTTTTTTTTTTATAAAGCTATTTAAACACAGGTATTTAGAACTGTGACATTGTGGCACTTGGTTTGTGTGGACTTCATAGAGCCCAAGAGCCTAAAGACTGCTAAACCAAGAGCTTGAGTCAAGGATAATTGAGTAGGATACCTGTTGCATGAGTGCTGTTACATTTATAAGTATCTTCTGTTCTCAGATCCCTCTGATGAGGAATGGGAAGAACTCTCCAGCAGTGATGAAAGTGACTTGTTTATGGAAAACTCATACAACGAGGGGAATGGGCTGCTAATGTCACCCCTGTGCCTCTCTGATGAGGTCAACTCAGCATTTCTGAACAACCTCATTCCAAAGAAGGTACTGTCTTTGATTTAATTTCCAGCACATGGTACCATCTTTCCCTTGTGCCTGGTTTGTATCCCAGATTAGGCAAACCAATTATCCCAATCCATCTGGAGAAAAGGAATATTTAAAAAATCATTTTAGCTTCACTATTTTTTGGGCTAGATGTGGAGCAACATCACATGAGCTGTCTCAACCTAAAAAATCTCTTAATGTAACTGGGAATAGAAGGTTCATGTGCTTCAGAAATGTGGTGGTGTGGTTTTGGTTGTTTGTATTTTTTAAATTTGACTATTCCAAAATACAAGGGTTATTGTTCCTTGATTTGGACATGAAAAAGATGACCTGCAAGAAGAAACGAAACTTTGAGTAGAAACATGACTGCCAGATTTCCATGTTAGTTGAGTGAGATGAAGTAACATATGGGAATGGCAATAGTCAGTACTAAAACGTGCAAGTTCTCTTTTTCCTGTTTTATACAGTATCTGAAGTATGACACAGATGAGAATTCAGATGTTCTTGTTTCAGAACTGTTTTGTTCATTCTTATTTGAGCTTGTAAAAATGAAGTTTGTAATTTGAATCAGTCATTATGCTAGTTCAGCAGAGTGGTAGAATTCTGTCCCAAAATATCAAGGAGTGAGATGAATATGTTCCAGGAGTTTTGTACTTTATAGCATCAAAGTTTTGGGGTAAGATCTTCAGACTTGCTGCTATCTGAAAATTCTGTAGCAGATTCTGTAAGAAAGATGTAAATAAAAAAGAATAGCAGAGACCTAGAAAATCACCTTTTGTTCAGTACAGTTAGATACTTAAAATACATTATGCTAAACCAAGTGTATAATTGCACCAATTGAGTGATTGAGGAGATTCTAGCATTTTTATGAGGTGAGACACTTATTACCTGGAAAGTTTTTAAATATGTAGCTTGAAGTATCTGTTTGACATAAAGCTAAAATTTTAATCTTCCCTGCAAACACACCTAAGAAAAAAAAGCTTCCTTGCTAAACCTTTCTTTTTCCCCTCCCCAGATTCTTGAAAAAACTGCTTTTCCGAACAGTGTTGCTCTAGACATCTGTATGCACAATCCATCTTGGAAACCATTAATCAAAAAGTAGGAACTTCATTGTCTCTCTTAATATATTTCATGTATATTCAGTTGTTTTGGAACTCTTAGAAGGATTATCCCTCTTGGGTTGCTTTTAAGATCTGGACAATGGCAGATCTGATCCGTGATTTTGAATGAAGACATAAAAATGTTTGTGTACACTGCACATTGCATCACAGCCTGTGTAATTTGAGATTCGTCTTTCTATTTCGACATCTGTTCTCAAAGATCTGCTAAGTGGATTTTGTTTGTTTGTTTCAGACTGAATGCAGTGCAGTGTAGAGCTTTAACATGTCTTCAGAGCATTTTGTTAGTGTCAGATGTGGATTGTCTTGGAGGAGCTTCAGCACTTCAGTCTCTTGCACAGCATCTCTCACAGCTCATCTTTTCTAAAACAGGTAAGGTGTTTAGTAAAGACGGCCTGCTGACCTGTTTTGTATAGATACAAGGAAGCCACGTATGTTGTTAAGTTTCAATGCTATTTTATTACTAATTTTATCCCTTTGGTCTTTCAAAAGAAGGAATGTCAGAAATGTGCTGACAAAACAGTGTAGCCTGATAAGATGTGTTTATCCAAATTGCTTCTTGAGCAAGTATGCTCCTAATCCAAGAATATGCTTTCCATCTGTGTGTGTTTGCAGAAAGTCACTCAGTGGATGATCCTGCCTTGCTGTGACACCAGAAATGTTTGCTTGATCATATTTGTGACAAAAACAATTTTTATCACTCAGACAAGCCATGAAGAAGACAAGAGATTTTCATTTAATATGTGCTAACTTGCCTAAATAGATATATGAAAAAAAGGGTATCTCACACAGTCCTTCACATCATTTTTTCTAGGAATATTATGAAATGATGGCAAAGGTGGTTGTTGCAAAAATCTCCAGAATGTGCATGCTAATTCTAGTAGGAAAGGTAGTGGCCATCTTGTCTTCAGGGTATGCTTTATGCATATGATTGCACATTGTAAATACATTTGAATAAGAAAATGTGCAAAGTTTTTATGGCTAAGTGTTGAACTGTTTAACTACCTGTTATGGTGGTAGTTCGATACTGTGATGGTTTCCCCACAGACTTGCTGGAATCAGTGTTGTTGGGTGGCCTACTAGTGTAGATAGGCAGCAGTTAGCATTTCCAGCTGCCTTCTGTAATCTTACACATTGGATCAGCATCATTCTAGTTTTACCATTGGGGCATTTATGCAACAATCTGCTTCATTCAGACTGTTCTGATAATCTGGTTTTGTTTTAAGGTCAGTAATGATGGCTTTTCAGAAAATACGAGGTATTCTTAGAGCCTGGAGAAGCCTGCCAACTCTCAAAATTGTCAGAAGACATTTTTCATGATACAGATCTGTTGATGTCTAGCATATGCATGGCTTTCTCATTTCTTGTCTCTTAGAAGCTTGAGAAGCTCAGTTTTCTTCCCTTCCTTCAAACATCTTTATTTGTAGCCACAAATGAGTGTACATAGTTCCTCTTTGCTCTAGTGCATAATATGACCCTGCATTGATGATTGAAAATGCATCTGGCTGCAAAACACACTTTTTTCTCCATGTCATTTAGAGTATGTGATCAGTCTATGGGAACATTATTACTGAGAGCTTAGTGCTCGACAGCCTAAAATGCAGGAAATGAAAATAAGTACGAAGACACATACAAGGAAGTTCACATAAAGTATTTGTCTTATGCTTAAAGAGTGGGACTTGTAAGAATTCAGGGTCCACATGTTATGCCTTGCAATAGTCAGAAGGTTCTTAGATGAAACTGAAGATGTGGGTAGCTGATGACAGAGGATGCTATTAAGTTAGTTTAATGACCCACATTCATTTTCGGTAACATGCCATTTTTTTTCCACAGTTAAAGGGTATGTAATGGAAACTGCTAGAACGAGTTGATAACAACATGTGGTTAGAAGGAATTCTGTGGTTTACAGGGTGAAAAAAAGTGATATAGATCTAATTGCTTCCATGGGAAAGCAGGAGATATACATGAAATAATCAAGTTTCTGAATCTGGAGTAGTCCAGAAAATAAAAGCATATTAGAGGAAAATAAAAAGCTTTAAGAAGTGAAGATGATGAGATGATTGAAGATGGTGGCTGGCATTGATGAGTTTGTAATTAAACAAGGATAATGTAAATTTCTGAAAGATTATTAAGCCCTGGAAAACATGTTCTTTATACTAACTGGAGAGAGTCCAGTGTTCTGGGCATCTAAAAAACCTGCTTAGAAGACAGAAGGAGCTAAAGTCCAGAGTCAGCTGCTGTAGTTTTCTCAGTTCCTGTGTGATGGCCTCCACGTGATACCAGTTTTCAGGCTTCTGTTTTGACTGCAGTGGTTTGTACCACACATTAGGTCACACAAGCGTCATAACCAGGGACCAACTGAGGACCAACTGTGGTCTAACCTCCAGATGCAATTTATATTGAATTCAAACAAATCACTATGGTTACAACCTGCAAAGACCAGCCTCTGCAAATCTAGCTCTTCCTGTTTGTGGTAGTACCTGGAGGAACATTTAAGGGATTAAAGAATTTTTATTTCTTTGTTTCTTGTATCCTTCACCTCCCTGTTTAACTTTTGGCTCTGGGTTCAATTCTTTGACAGAACTCCTTACAGACACAGAATTCCTGGAAGCCATAACCAGTGCTTTGAGGGCTCTTCTACAAACAATGGCATCAAAGAACATCTCTCAGGTAAAAGCCTTCAAACTCCTGCTCTAGTAGGTTCAAATTAACGTGAGAAAGTTTCTGAAACAAAACTGTTTAAGTGAAGTGCTAAATTTCAGTAACTGTAAAAAGTGAATTCACACTTTGTGTTTTTCATGCACCTTAAAAATACTTTATCTATCTCCTCCTTAACATGTAAACATATGAAAGGGTTTTCAAAACCTAAATAGCAATAAGCCACAGATAGTAACTTTAGGAGAAGGATATAATGAGAAGCATTTAGTAAATAAGCACCTAGAAATGTGAAGTCTATTTCCTGATGTCACCTAGTTTAAGCTGGTTGTCTTTCTGAAATCTTGGTTGGACGTGAATTAGCTCAATACAGGAATGAAGTATAACAGTTTGTTATACAAGACATAATACCAGATGATCTGTTGGTCCTTCCTGGTTTTAAACTGAAAACTAAACTTCTATACTGTAAGTTGTAATGAGTTGAAAATAACTATTGAGCTGGGGAAGTTTGTGAAAATCCCTTTGAGCCCAGATCTTTTTCCTTTAGCTTCGTGACAGCTTTGGTTATGTTCTGGAAGAAGCAGCTTAAGAAGTCAAAAGGGAGAGTTTAACTGTTTTCTTGCTGATTGCATTTTCAGAGTTCATATGGCTTTCATAAGGCAGGTCTCTGTTTCTCTGTTACACGTTTGCCTGTGTTCCGTAAAAGCAAATGATCTAAACATTATAACTGAAAATTTTCATGAAAATATAAATATATCTTATAATCCTTGTTATGTTTTTTTCTTTCCCCTTTGCTGAACAGTGTATGACTGCTGAGCAGCTGTTGACTTTATGTGAAGCTGGTATTCACAGCAGTAATGCCAGTGTCAGAGTGAACGTAGTGAGCATCCTTGGAATTTCTGGCAGTGTCCTGGCAAAAGGGCAAGATACAGCTGAAACACTAAAGGTGAGGAGGCAAACTTTGCATTGCAAGCCTACAACAGTTTTTATACTTCTTTCAATTTTCTTAAGCATTGCTGGAAAAATCAGATTTTCTCTCTTTTCAGATGATTGGAAAATTTCTTCTTGAGGTTGCTATGAAGGAATCTTCTCTTGTGGTAGCAGGGGAAGCCTTGGATGCACTTTTTGATGTATTTGCAGATGGTCAAGAAGCAGAAAAGGCAGCGGTACAGATCAAGTTGCTTCCAGCACTGAAAGAATTTCAGCCAGTGTTCAAAATGAGGGTAGGCATCAAATGCAGCCAGTTCAAGGTCTCAACAGACCACGTGGGTTCAAGCTTTGGGATTTGGGCAGCTAGAAGTGATAATTAAGCAGGAATGTGTGGCTTAATAAGATGATAAAAAAGAAAAAAAGAAAAAAGAAACCAAATAGTTGTATTCCTGATACTCTGCTTTAGAGGAGAGTAAATACACCTACTTTGCAGTTCATGGAACCATCAAGGGTGCATTGCAACATCTGCATTACACCATCAGCATTATTGATGCCCAAATCACTGTATCATTGTTCTAAAACCCTTTTAAAAAAAGCTACACATGTCTCTGGAGGAGATGAGCTAGACTCGGGGGAGAGAGGTTCCTTCTGAAGTTACGTTGACATCTTTTGTTTTTAACTAGCTGTAGGTGGACATTTTTGTTCTGTTGTTGGTTAATGGAAAGTACAGAATAGATGATCTATTTTAAGATTCACAAGGCCAAAATTCCAAACTGTAGTTTTAAGTACAGCTTTATCTTAAATGGAGAGTGACCTGCAGAATGTTATTTCTTTAGTCAGAAGTATCATCAGGAGTGACTTTCATACTCTGAAAGCTAAGCATAGGTAGGTATGCAAGGTCTTTCATGTAAAAAGCTACAGAACATAAGTGCATGTTTCAAATATGAGTGAAACACTGTGCTGAAGTAGTCAAATTTTAGGCAGAGATGTATAGTAAATTGACTTGCAGAAATAATTGCTAGCTGTGTATGTGCACACAAGGACAAGCTGGAGTTCTATCATGTAGATAGAAGACATATCCAATTACTATAAGTTTCAGGTGATCTGATAGGAGAAACTTCTCCATTAGTAAAGTGTGTATTTTTTGCTTTTACAGATACGAAAAGAAGGAAAAGGCCAATATAGTACAGATCAGCTGTGTGTTCTTGACAACGTGAAGATGAATTTGAGAAGATTCATTGCATATCAGGAGACACTAGGGAAAACCCCAACTTGAACCATCGAGGAACTTTAAATTAAGGTTTTCCTTCCTGACTAATGTTTTCCAAAAATATAACTGTTTTCAACTTCTAAAATTTCTTGAGCAGAGCAGTTTTGCTTTCATGTTTATGCTGCATTTTTTATGTTCAGTATTTTTATACTTCTGGGTTGATGCAATATGAAAGTCACATTAGCATAAAAAAACAGAATGTACTTTGAGGTTAAGTGTTAGCAGTGTTAAGAATGTGTTCTAACAGCCCTGGGGTCTGTATGTAGCACCACTGTCACTGTTTAGAAATCCTCTCCTATCCTGGTGGAGAACTAGTAATTCCACAAAAAAGTAATTTAGAGAATATTCTCAGTTATGTGCCAGATCAAGACAAAAGTTTAAAAGCTCAAGATATTTTTCAGGGAATTGAGCAGTGGCAGAATGTTCATATTTGCTATTTGCTCTTATTTCTAGAACTGTACAGGCACTTAACGGTGAGCTACCCAAGAAAAGTGTGTGATAAGTATACAGATGTCTGTTAGCACTTGGATCTGTTACTTCATGAGGTTTATCAAAAACTGTTTCAGATTCAATTATGACAAGTTCAGTATGATTGCTTTTTTTGCTGTGGAAATCAGTGTAAGAGGATCCTACCCTTATATGCAGCTCCCTGGTTTTACTTTATTTTTATTGGTATTTCTGAAAATCAAGTCTTCTGGTTTACTTTCTTCCTTGTAGTTGTACATCAGGATGAATTTGAATTCAGGGAAGTAGTAAACCTAGTAAGTATTTTTTTGTACAGAGGTATTATCAAAAGTAACTTTATAATTGCTTAAAAATAACTTCTTCAAATATTTCTAATACTTTAAGCTGTAAAATACAGAAGCTATTTTAAACAAAAGTCACAGATTAATGAAGATTGTATCTGAACTTCCATATATTGAAAGCTTTGTGTTTGTTTCATACACCTTTTTTAAGGAAAAAAAAAACACAACCAAACACAATCGTTTTGTTATGCTGATTTTTTAAATGAGAGGTTTTCTCCCCCTCTTCTCTTAAGATGCTGCCCTAGCAGAGACACCCAGGTTTTGGCAAAATCTTGCCCATCGTATTAGGCATGGAACTACAAAGACCAAATTTGCTCCGTTTGTTAGATTTCAGTCTTTTGGATTGGAAATAAGGCTCAGGAACTGAGTGGTTTATTTGTGAATGACTGACTTGAGGAATTCCTGACTTGTGGTGTTTTGTCAAGTGCAAGAAAAAGTGAAAAATGAGTTTCAGCAGCTGTGCTGCCTGGAAGTCCTGTAGTTGTTACTACATTGCAGTAGTTAGATAAGTTGTGTGATGTGATGCCTGCTAGTCAGATGAGTGAGAGTGTGGGATCAGGAGGGCTCAAGGGCCATTGACCCTGGCCTGGGGAAGTTCTGAGGAGCATGGAGCAGTTGAAACATTATCCTGGGATTTGGCAGGGGCTGGCAGTAAAGAAAGCTGGAGTGGAACAGCTGAGGAAAGAGTAGCTAGATGGATTATGGTGTAAGACTGTACAGTGCATGGATTTTAATACTAATGTTATATTTGCTGTACACTGCAGATAGTAAAATATTATCCGGATAAAAGGCTTTAAAAAAACTTTAAACTTAAAAGAACTTTCACACAGAAAGTTCTGCTCTAATTTTCTGGGTGTTACACTGAATTGGGGGATGATCTATGTTGGAAAGCATCTCTGGAGGTCTCTTAGTCCAGTCCTCTGCTCAAAGCAGGACTTACTTTGGAGTCATGTAAATTGTGCTAGGCCTTGAGCATTTCTGAGAGTGCAAATCTGGAAGTCCCACAACTCTGAGCAGCCTTTTCCAGTGCTTATCTGCCCTGACTGTGAACACTTTTTTTTTTTTTCTTTTTCCCTTGTATCTAGTAGGACTTCCCCCTGCTGCAAAATGTGTCCTTGTCCTTTGACTGCACATCAGCAAAAAGAGTCTCTCTCCCCTCCTCTTATAACCCACATTTACTAGTTGAAAACAACAATTACATTCCCCTCTTTTTTGCTGTGCACTAACTAGTTGAATGTCTTAAAAAAAATCATTAGTGTCATAGTAAGACAGGTGCATAGTATGAAACATGGCTTGTGGAAGTATGTGGGGTTTTGTGCTTACAGTAACTGCTGCTACCTTCTGGTACAAACCATTCTTAGCTAACAGCTAGAAGAGAAATAAGGACGTGCAAAGGCATTTTGGTTTCTTGGGAGTTTATACTGAAAGAGGAGAACTTCAGTGGGACTGTTTGGCTGAAGGCATGAAACACTGACAAGCTGGTGACTGTCTCCAGCTCAGCAGATATGTGTGAGGTGATAGAGAGGTAAGCTGTGGCTCTTGAGAAGTGTTTTTGTTGTTTTGTTAACCTCATTGCTAATATTAATGAAGCTTTTATTTGTAATTTCCTAACATCACATCTTCTAACATCTTTGCCAAATCAATGGTGCTTGCCAGCAGCCCATTGCAAAATGAAACCTTTTTTTTCCCTTTGGCGTTTCTGTGGTGTTACAGTTAGCTAATACTAATTGGCCATCTGTGTATTTTGATGGCCATACTTTTATTTCACTCAATGAGAAAATCTTACTCTATCACTTGCCTAGACACAGGTTTAGTGCAGCTTGGTCTTGGTGTGGCTGCATGACAAGTAGTAATTTTATGTGTTAGAGAGCACATTCTACTTGTAAGAGGCAAGACAAAAGTTAACAGGAAAAGCACGGAAAACTTTTGAAGACTTTTTTTCTATGGAAGACAAGGCAAGTTATCAGTGATTTAAAGCAGTGTTAGATCAGGCCTAAAACCAGATGAGATTTATAAGTACAGAAGAACCAAGCTGTAAGATTGTAACTATAAAAGTTGTTCTGACACAGTTAAGGAATTTTAAGGCAGCAGCAGAAGTGATGATGTTGTGCAGATGAAATGTTTTGGGGACTCTTGGCACTGGTTAACTTAAATAAGTTTAGGGTAAGCTTGAGGCAAAGACAAGATCCTTGACAACCCACAAAAGCCAAGTCAGATCTTGAAGATACTTGGAGAGTGGCAGAAATTGGGCTGATCTAGATAACATGCAGGATAAGTAAATAGATTTTAAACAGATGTGATTTTAATCAGTTAGTGTAATCACACAGATAAGACTGGTGTTAAAACATGTATCTGAAACTGAATTTGTTTGCTTATACTGGTCCCTAAGGCATCATCTGTCTGTCCTTCAGTTAAAAAACTGCAGTCCTTTGAAAGCATGGATGGCTTCTTTGTTTGTCTCCTTGTCTGACACCTAGAACAATAACATCTGTCTCTGGGTTGACATTTTATACCAAAATAGCTGCTGAGTTTAAGTTGGTCTGTGGTATTGAGTAAAGAAGGCTGTGTGCTCCCTGCCCTGGTCAGCAGCAGGACTGGTGGCATTTGCTGCTGCTTCAGCCTCTGCAGCCTGAAAAATGTGGAATCCCCAGCTGTGTAGATAAGAAGTTATAATCTCTGTGTGGTTTTATTTTTACTCTCTGTGAGAAGAAACAAGTGGCAAGATTTAAATAAGCATTTTTGTGAAGTACTTTTTATACGTCGTGCCTTGACATTCAGGAGATGGCTGGATGCCACCTGACAGCGATAGCTGAGCTGCTTGGAGTCTGTGGTGTGTGCTGGAAGTGGTTTTTTGTACAGTATGTTTTTTCTTAAAGATTGTCACCTTAGAGGAACACAAATACCTCTTACCAGTACTACTTGGCTTGGTTTTACATTTGTATTTTGAGAGAAAATATTTTAAAAAAGAGACCCAGTGAAATGACAAAATGAGAACTGCGACAGAGAACAAGTTTAATTTTAAATCTGTTTGTAGTTTAAGTATTACAAATGAAATTGATATCTTGTGGAGTATTAACATCAACCAACCAAGTAAAAATGTGCATAAACCCCAGTTTTGTTTCCTTAGTAATTTTCAGTAAAAGCATTCCAGAGGCTTGGATAGAAATGTCTAGGCTTACACTTACTGTTGCAAATTCAAATTCAGGCAGTGGTAGTGGTTATTAAAAATAATGTAATTGTTCCTTTCTGGCAGGGATGAATTGAGCAAACGATCTCAATACAGTTTGTGCTGGACACTGTTAAGATACATAGTATTAGTGTAACTGGCAAAAACTGAAAAAACTTGACAGTCACAGCAGATTGAGGAACTTGAACTTTTTCTACAAGGGCTGAAACACGGTGAGCCTTTCTGTTTGAAGAAGTCTTTACCTGAGTGCTGGGGGTTTGGGTCTAATTTTCAAATAAATTCAAACAGTTAACTGTTGTACCTTCCAGGAAAACTAGTATGCATTTAGGTCACTTGAATCTCCTTTTGTGTCTGCATTATTTTCCCAAGTTATTTGTTTCTTTGAGAGGCATTTTGTCAAACATAATCCAATGACCACATAAAAACATAGGTTGAGACTTGCACTCCAAGGATATGGTAAGATGCTTTTTTTTCCCTTTCAAATCTGGGTGTCAGGGACCTCTTGAGTTACTGTCAAATCAAGAGCTTAAATCAAAGTGCTTGTGAACTGGAATAAGACACTACTGTAGAAATCTGTACTCTGTAAGAATGATTGTGGCTGCTACTTGCTCTCCACACAGCAGAGGGTCCTGATGCAGCCCACGGCTTGTGAGGGACTCCCAGAAATACCTGAACCACTTTTCAAGATGCATTGGGATTTCAGTGTGCCTTCTCCTGGTTTTGTGTTCCTTTTTGGACAAAAAATCCTTGCGAGTATTCTTTATTTTCTTCTTCCTCTGACAAGATGATTTTTTGTTTTCAAGCTTTTAAGGAAAATTGCATTGGCCTCTTCCCTCCTCCCTGCCCCACTTAGAGGAGAATAAAAGGCACTTGAAGAATGGCTGACTCGGCTGAAAACAAATGGTATTTCTAAACCTCTTCTGAAAAGTTCTCTTTCTTATTAAATAAAAGAATTAAAAGTTCAAAATCATGGCCAAAAAATAACTTTGACTTCATTCAAGAGGGGGAGGCACCTGTTGATTTTGGGGTGGGTTTTTGCTGTTGCCCACTCCCTTTATTTTCCATAATACCCTGTAGGTTCACTCCCTGATCTGAAGCCTCTGTGGTATCACACCACTTGTGTTGTCTTCACTTTATTTGCCTGGGACTAGGGTTGCTACTAAGGAATCCTGTATATTAATAAACCTCACTCCTACAACAACACTTATTCATATTTATGTGCTATGAGTGTAGAATAAATCACTGGGTTTTTTTGCAGAATTAGCCCTTTTTTTGGCAAAAACAAACAACAAAACCCAAACAAAAAACAAGCATTTTTTTTCTGCTCCTGCTGTCTCCTGAAGGATGACATGAAATCCTTTATTAGACTTATGCTCAATTTTCTGTGTCTTGGTTTTTAAAAGAAATTTGTGAATGGAAACATTTTTATTTGCATTTTTTTATGTCAGAGGAACATGAAACTATTGGAACCACCCCGCCCTCTATGCAGTATGCTGGAAACTTTCTAGCTGATAGGAAAGCTATCTTAAGGCTGTAGTATGAAAACACTAAACCCGAACCTGACCCGAAACGCTGCTGCTTGCCGGGCTGCGATGTCTCTCCCTGCAGAAGCGCCGGCCGTGACAAGCCTGGCACCTCGGCTGTCAGTTCCTCTCCTCCGGAGCTGAATGCCGGCCAGGAAGACTCTGTAACAACCCCCCCCACAACCTGAGGGGA